AGCAGGCCGAGGCAAAGAGGAAGTCACAAAAGCAGCAAAACCAGGGAGCTGGACAGGGGACAGATTGGATTTGTCTTCAATGTGGAAGAGAATGTCACTCTCGAATTGGCTTCTTCAGCCACACTAGACGCTGTTCCAAGTCCTCCATACAGAGCACGTCACCATAGTCTTTCGAGACTGAAGGATGCCTAACTAACTAACTAACTAACTAACTAACTAACTAACTAACTAACTAACTAACTAACTAACTAACTAACTAACTAACTAACTAACTAACTAACTAACTAACTAACTAACTAACTAACTAACTAACTAACTAACTAACTAACTAACTAACTAACTAACTAACTAACTAACTAACTAACTAACTAACTAACTAACTAACTAACTAACTAACTAACTAACTAACTAACTAACTAACTAACTAACTAACTAACTAACTAACTAACTAACTAACTAACTAACTAACTAACTAACTAACTAACTAACTAACTAACTAACTAACTAACTAACTAACTAACTAACTAACTAACTAACTAACTAACTAACTAACTAACTAACTAACTAACTAACTAACTAACTAACTAACTAACTAACTAACTAACTAACTAACTAACTAACTAACTAACTAACTAACTAACTAACTAACTAACTAACTAACTAACTAACTAACTAACTAACTAACTAACTAACTAACTAACTAACTAACTAACTAACTAACTAACTAACTAACTAACTAACTAACTAAAAGAATGGATCACTTTGAGAAATAAAAGACTAATCTCTCTAGAAGGACATGATGTACAATGGGGCTGGCATGCCTTTTTATGATATGAGAAAGCCAAAACTCATATATACTTTCAAAATCATTATATTAGAAACTCACCATTGATAATATGGGAAAAGAAAAAAAATGTACATAAAAATTACCAAGGTGGCTTTCACCTATGGAAGCATTTGTGCACCCAAATCTCAGGAACTTTGAGGAAAGTTTATGCTACAAAGGTATACTAGATACAGAAGGGAAATTAAAACCAAAACAAGAACTTATTGCTCAGGGATTAGGCTTGTAATAGTGGGCATTAATGCAAATTCAATCTAGATATGATAAAGATGTTAAAGATGGATTTTAGAAGTAACTAATACGGCTTGAGCAAATATTGTTAACCTCAGATGATAAACTAATTAAGAAAATATACAAACTGCTTTTGAATTGGAAAATGGCAGATGAACAGGTGAAAGAAAAAATGGTACAATAGGCTAATTGGACTTATGTCACACGCTAGCAAGGTTATGCTCAAAATCCTACAAGGTAGGCTTCAGCACTATGTGGACCGAGAACTCCCAGAAGTATAAGCTGGATTTCAAAGGGGCAAAGGAACTCGAGACCAAACTGCTAACATGCACAGGATTATGAAGAAAGCAAGAGAGTTCCAGAAAAACATCTACTTCTGCTTTATTGACTGCGCAAAAGCCTTTGACTGTGTGGACCACAGCAAATGATGGCAAGTTTCTATCTCCTGAGAAATCTATACAGTGGTACCTCACTTAACGGCAATAATCTGTTCCAGGAAAATCACTGTTAAGCGAAAACGTCATAAAGCAAAAATAAAAAGCCCACTGAAATGCATTGAAAACTGTT